TTATGTTTTTTTTCTAGTGGGACATGTTGATAATTAAGATATACATTATGGTTTTGCTTTAGGACATTTTTTTACTAATATCTCATAAGAATGGAACTGTCACGTGTACATACTATACGTCTTTGAGACGACCACCATATATATATATATATATATATATATATATATATATATATATATATATATATATATATATATTCTGATAAACAATGAAATCAATTCATTCGCCCCATCTCGCCGTGGCCGTATTTATTAGCAATGAAGGAAACAAACAGGGGCACGAGCGAGCCAAACCAAGACTTTGGAAAGGACCGGTAACTTTGAAGGTCCGGGCGGCTGCTAGTGGAAAAGTGTACAGAAACCCACCAAGTAAAGCCTGCATCCGAACGTTGTTGACGCGCGCATTGACGGTGTGAACGCCACAGGATGGGGGTCAGGGCTAGCTGCAGCAGGCCGGCTTGCGCTGGTCTTCCTTCGCTGCGGCGCCGCCTGCTGCACGGGCGACCGTACGAGGGTTCGGGTTCGTCGTCGCAGCCGGCAGCCGGATTGGTGGAGGCAGCTGGCGGCTGTACGAGTACGCCATGTCGCCATGCATGCGAGCCGGTGCAGGCAGATGCAGAGGATGTGCGCAGCAGTCCAGTCCAGGCCGGTTGCACGCAGCGACCAGGGCATTTCTTGGTCGTCGTCTACTCTCGTCTATTTTCTCTTTCTGGTTTTTGAAAACGTACTCCAGAACCAGCAGCAGGCATCATGCTGCATCTCTTCCTTATTATCACCGGTCGCCGGTAGGAATAGGACCCCAAGAATGTGAGCGTTTGTTGACTGGACGAAAGGGGAATAAGAAGGGGCCCGACCGGCCGGGCACGGGGGCACCTGTACGCACGGCGGCGACGAGGAACCCGGCCGGAGTCAGGAGAAGAGAAAGTGCATGCGTGGAAGTTTTGATACGTTCCGACGGCTAAAGTTGGCAGGCGCGCGTGCAAGAACTAAGGAAGATGCATGCATGCTTGAAAAAGTCTCTATGTAGCATGGCGCTGCTGGCGGTGCATGTTGCATGCAGCCGGCCGGGGACGACGGCGAATCCACCGATCGATCCATGCAGCGGCGTATGTCTAGATCGGTGACAACTGACTAGCAAGCGGCCGGAGTCCATGGACGACCCGACCGATCGGCGACCGGTGCCGCCGATCGAGTGCCTTGCTTTGCTTTTTTCAGATCGATGGATGGCTGCCCGTGTGGAGTTCCATGGACGAGGACGTCCGCGAGCTAGCGTGGAGCCTGCCAGACCGGGTCCGGTCCGACTTGGTGATGCGTAACAAGTGACCGTAAAAACTAACGTACTAGAACCGTGAAAAAGCATGGTCACTTTTGAATTGAACCAATCGTATAGGTATATAGGTCGGTCTCCTATTCCTAAAGAGCTAGCGCGTCAGCTTTTTACAATTTCCAGTGTGCGCCCGCCAATGCAACAAAGTCTCGTGTCGCAGCATCACAGAGATTTCTGCAGTTTGTTCAATCCACTGAACGTGTACAGAGAGATGATACCAATACCATGCAGGAGCTCAAATTCAAATTAAGCCCCCTGATGACCTGACCTGGCCAGGGAATTCAATTGCCGCCGTTCTGTTTGTGTTCATTTTGTAATATTAGAAGATGAGAAATTCATTCATGAATCAATTTAGCTTTATTTTGGCTTGCATCACTACTAGCCTATATATCAACCCATGCTTTGGTAATATTACGTGCAAGCCCGAGCACAGAGCTCCTGGAGGCCGAAGCTGATGCACTGATAGGTGCTCGCGACCTGAATTTGATGAACCAGACAAAGCCGCACGGAACAGAAGGGCAAGCGACAGGCCGAGCTCGGCCTGGACTGCACAGGCGAGCAACGGAGCACGGGACAGACCTGCACGGTGCCTGAGAGAGCTTGCTCTCGGTCGTACTCGACCTGATGCTGCACGCGAACAGAGAACGGAGGAAGAGCGAGCCTGGGAGCGAACGCAGGCACCGGACACCTCACAAGGTCACCGTCGGGTGCTGGCGGTGCACCGTCTGGAACCTGTCCGGTGGACACCGGTGGCTCCGGTGCCTACCTGACGCAGAAGAGAGACGCACGGTGCTGCGGTTGGCTCGGTGCCTGGTCGAGCACCCGCTCGGTGCTCGGCGCTGAGCGCTCGATGCTGCTCGGCCAGGGTCTGCTCTGGCCCGGGGGCAAGCGCTGCTCAGATGAGCAAGCTCGGTGCCAGGGCACCGGAGCTGGTAGCGCTGCTTCTTCCCCCTATCGATCAAGCCCGTGCTGCACGAACAGAAAGACCGACGCCCTGGAACGCACGAACACAGAGAAAAGGGCGACCCAAAAATCGAATCAAACTCGATCAAATCACCATGATTCGTTTCCAAAATTTGGCCCGATGAAATTCAACTTGCTACGAATCTATCCTCAAGAAATCATCGCCTGGGATTGACCCAAACTTCAGAAAATTCAAATCGTAGCCAAGAACGAAAATAGAGAAAAACGAAGAACAGAGAAACGAAAATCACACACAAAATTATGAGTCCCAGAGGGCAACTGGAGGATTCGGGCCTCTATTCCCAACTCAAAATCTTTGTTTACATAAATTTTGAATTTGTGGACCTCAAGATCAAACCCTAGGAGGAAGGAGAAACCTAGAGAAGAAAACATGAAAATGTTCTAGAGGTGAAGGAGATTGGGGCTTCCTCGTCCTTATTTATCAGCGCTATTACACAATCACAAATACGTCCTTAAACATTTTGAGTCGAACCATTTAACCCGAAGATATTATGGTCCAACCCGAGATAGTCTTCATCCGACGGCCACTGCGCCCTTCATGAGATAGCTTCGTCTCGACACGAACTCCTCGATGCCGCCACGTGCCGTCCGTTCCTCCTCGGAACTTCCGCCCGGGTTTTGAGGCCAAACCCGCGAAACCGTCACCAGCTGGTTTTGAGGCTCAACCCACCAAACCGCCGCGAGTAGCGTACTCCATACGCGTCCCCCGCCACTCAACGCGTGTCACCTCCCGTCCTCGACTGCCCGGGCACCAAGTCTTCCAGAGCCTCGCTCAACTTGCATGTCAGCCATCTTGACTCGATCAACACGGTCACTCCCATGTACACTTGCGCTTGTCGATGTAGCAGTTGTTAGCCACCGCGGCTGGTCATCCGGCTTCCCAGTCCCTCAGTTTAAGCCTCACATCCGTCCTTCACCGCTCCCTGTCCATCAACACGACAGTCTCTACTTGACCTTCACCTCGCCGTCGACCACCGCCTCCAAGCTCCATACCTGCGCACCACAAGCCAAGAGACACATTGCACAACTCAACTCATGCCATGGTTAGTTCACAAACTCAACCCAAGACGCGAACCACGTTGATAATCACTCATCACAAATCCGAACCACAAGAGCACGTATCAACCCTGTGTTCGCACTGATCGATCTCGATCTGTAGCTGCCAACCGTGGGCCAATGCAGGCAGGTATGTACGTGTGTGTGTGTATATATATATATACTCTTTTTGACAGTGTCAAATTAAATAAAGCTACTTATTATAAGTACGTCGATCGTCGTCTTAGTCATAAGAAACAGTGGAATGAGAAAGCTGGTCTAGTCTCATCAGTAATGCATGATCGATGGTCGATGGTGTGATCGATGGTCGATGGTCGATGGTGTAGCTAGTGCGCGCGTAAAACGAATAGACGGGCGGCCGCTGCCGCACGATCGAGACCACACATGGAAATGTAAATGGAAATGCATGGAAGAAGGAATGGAGTAGATAGTAGTCAATCATGCATGGCATGCTAGTCGTGAACTCGATCGATCATACGATACGCGCGCTTTTGCTTGCTTGCTTTTCCATGGAAGACAACCGCGACTTGCATGTTCCCCGAACGTGCGCCATTAGTTCTAGTTGGGCGTCCGGACGTCGCGAGCGATGACCGGCGGCCGGCCGGACAATGCGCACGCACGTTCGAGTTCGAGATCGAGGTCACTGGCTGGCTCTTTCGTTCGTGAACCTATATATCACACACACATCGTAATCGATCACCTCGTGAAAAGTTCAGTTTAAGTTTGTTTGCGGGCGAATGAGAATAATGGTATAGGGGGTATCTTCGACGACGACGACGACGACCATGCAGACTAGAGTTTTGAGGATGGAGTACTAGTTAGTTAATATAGTTATAGACTTACACGACTGGAATCTCGCATTTTTCTGTGTGTGTAAAAACACACAGAAAAATGCGAATACCGTCAGAAAAATATTTTTCTGACGGTGTACCCTTATAAAAATACCCACGGAAATATAATGACAGAAAAATTCAATTGTTCTGTGTGTTCGCCGTCAGAAACAATTTTTCTGTGGGTGTTACACGCACAGAAAAATTACGTTAGCCCAGATTAAATTTAAATGTTGTGTGCGTTGATCCTCACAGAAAAAAGAAAAGCCCGACAGAAAAATAAATAATTTTTCTGTGGGTGTTACACGCACAGAAAAATTACGTTAACTCACAGGAAACTTTTTATTTTTCTGTCGGTCTCGGTTAACGCACAGAAAAATAACAGACCACCGACAGAAAAAACCCTTAACTATGCAGCAAATTGGATACAATAATTATATAAAAACAGAACAGTAGCAACAACATATTAAATATGGACTGTCCATACTGTAATTTCATCACAACATAATAGATAGCATACATATAAAGATCCAAATGTTCAGCACATTCATTAATGGCATCCGGGCTACATATAAATGATGTTCAAATGGTCCGGCATCAATACATTCAAAAGCATTACCATCTCATCTCAACAGTTCAAGTCTCAGTCAAGATGAGTAAAGTACCAACATGCATCATTGAGTCGTATTATAGCTAAAACTAAAGCTAACAGATTAGAGCCACTACTAGTTAATGTGCAAAAGCACAACTCTACAAAAGAAGAAACCACCATCACATCCATATTTTGCAACTAAACACAACCATCACATTATCGATGCATGATCACCATCATTGTCGGAACCTTGATTGTTGTCAATGTTTGCAGCATGAAGATCCCCATTGGTGTGGCTGCAACATTGAACCAGTACAAGCAATCAATAGTCAGGATAAGTTAAATGGACTGCTTGTGATAATACTTACAGCATGAGCACCCATTGGTGGAAATCCAGCTGACTTAGGGATGGATCCAACAAGCGGACCATTGGTAGGTGGAGGTGCTCTTGCTCCATTGGTAGGAGCAGCACAAGAGTGATCAGTAAAGAGTGTCTTGATGTCAGGGTTTGGTCTGGGGTTCTTGCAGAGCTGATGTTGCTAGTTCAGACTGAAAGGCATTAGAAAGAAAGAAATAAAGCCCAATTAGCCTCACCTTTTACATGCACGAAATGTGCTTCTAGAAGCACTGTTAGACTTGTAGGCATAACAAGTAGAGAAATCCCAATTGTTATTAAACATATCAAAATTAAACCATCAAAATCACATATGCTCATTTTGCCTGTTGATCATCAATACACAATCACATCTGGATGCACCGGCCCAATGCACTAAACATTATGCTTCTAAAAGGAAAGTTACCGTACCTAAAATTCTCCAAGGTCAGCAACTGTGTTATCTCCTTGAACAGCTCCTCATTGAAGGAGGCGAACACCTTCAGATCCTTCACGAGAATCTCCACAGCCTTGGCCCTATCATGCTTGTGACACCGACAGCAAATTCAGCAAAAAAAAACAACCTTGACAACAACAAGGGACTAAGAGTAGCGTAGTGATGAGTCGGTCACCTATCAAGGGCCTCGAGGTACTTCTGCTTGCGGATCTCAAAGAAGATCTTCATGGAGTAGCGGTTGTCCTCCAGCTTGGTGAAGCCGCTGAGGTACCCCTCCACCTCGTCCCAGCAACTAGAATGGGCAGAGTTTGAATGTAGATCAGGACACATGGGGAAATGCCAGGGGCAAAAAGAAGGCAGATGGTAACTGCCAATGGGAGGAGCAGCCAAGCACTTACAAACGGAAGAAGACAAATGCTGATCATGATTCCTCCTATAACAATGTGATGCCACCATCAGGCAATGCTTGGAATATTGAAGATGGAATTGGAAATGACTACACATACATAGCATTTCAGTACAATAGAGAATTAAGTAATATGAAACGCTAACCCAAGATAGATTGAGAAATAACTGTTACTAGACAATAATTTTACCTGGAGCTTAATTTAATTCTCTCTCACTAATAGGAATTGAACTGGCCACAGAACTAGTTGCTTGTACTGGTACAAGCCATCCTAGTTAAGCAGCAAACAGAACAAAATATCCCAAGTACCAGCTCATAAGGTGCTAAAGTGCAGAAGTTCTCTAATGGAAACTTGATTCATCACAGCCATTCAAGAGTAGTACAAAACAAAAAAGTCACAAGGCATAGTTAGGGAAGGGGAGAGCAGCGCGGCACGAGACTGTCAAAAGATATTTGAATGCTGAAAATATTACAGTAGAAGCAGCCAAGCAGGCATGCATACTCGGGGAAGGAAAAAAAACAACAGCAAAAAAGCCATCAATCCCAAGCATGCTCATATTAATCCTAACAATTGAATACTGATTATTGTGGTGCTCTAGCACCTCCTACTAATCCGAACAATTCGGTTGCTGAAAGATGACATCTGCTAATTGTTGTGCAATAACTTAAGAACAAATAACCAGCAAGATTATGCAAATAAAATTGAATGTTCTAGCACTTTATTGAAGTATAAATAAATTACCCAAAACAATCTGATCCATACTTACAAAATTATGCAAAAAAGTTAATAGTGCGCCTACAATCAGACGATATACAGGTCAACTAGAGCAACAATGAAGTGCACAGAATAATCTTACCAAGCCACTATAGTCAGGACTGCAATGACCTAAAAAAAAGAACCAACATGACGGTTATTTTTGGAGCATTGATTGCAAACAAACATTTTGATAAGTCAGGACTGCATTCCATGATCTGACTTATTGAATGACAATAGTGCATACTTAGAGAACTGCACAATAAAAATCAGTTTTGTAACTCAGCTCTTGATTTGTAGTGTTGCACAAAGTAAAAAATATGGAATTGGAAAGAAGCACACTCCTAATAAAACACTAAAGCCTAGCCTTCTACAACGCATATATTATTCACTTAGAAGACCACAAAACCGGTTGTTATAATATATGTGACTAGCAACTATTTCAGACGCACCAATACCACTACTGCCCAATACAGGATATCTGTAATTTTGAAGGTTCCTGATCATGGAAAGGTGGATGAAGATGGTGGAGTACCTAGCAGTGTGGCGCTTTCTGCCACCAGCAGCCTGTCGCTTTAGTGTCGTGTCTGCAGCACATGATAAAAAAAATATTGATATCCAACTTTCCCCACTCGCTTATCTGTTCGATGATTAAAGGACTGCATCAATCAGTGAAGCCTAACAGCTGTGCATACTTAACAAGAAATGTACACTAAAAACAGTTTTTGAAGCCAGATTAGTATGGAACTTGAAATAAGCGTACCCCTGAAACTCTAAAGCATATATATAGTGTTGTGCAAAACACTAAAATGGTTTTAAAGACATGTGTAAACAATGAATTAAGATTCATGCAAATAAATAGTTAAACAGCATGCTAGCCTCCCAAATCTTAACAAACCAAATATTTTTTTCCAGTGCTGCTTTAGCTAACACTTGACAACTTTTATGCATGGAACTTGCTACTGCAGCCCATATCAGGATATATAATGGAACGATCATTCATGTGCAGCTCTAAAAATTCAACCAACAATTTTGAGAGCAGCTATAAAGTGGCTAACTATAGGCAGTAGAAAAAAATGCATGTAGGACGACAATCATGTGCTATTGGAGAAATAAAGAATTCATGTTGACTACACATTACATGCCACATCTAATTCTAAAATGAGATCGACAACATGATGGGATAATTGCCAATTTTGACAGTGATCTTAGCCTTCAATACGAATTTGACACTAAAAAACTTCAAACTACATGGAGTCGATATCTTACCATTGGAGCACACAACAAGCCTATATCCAGAATGTGATCAACCGGATTGGAAATGAGTGTAATCAGATCTGCAATGTTGTGCAAAGTATGGAATTAAAAAAAGGCCGCCACCGGCCTCCACCACCAGAGCCCAGAGCCTAGATCCGGCCGCCACCGGCCTCCACCGGCCAGATCCGGGAGAGGGAGGGGCGGCGCCGGGGAAGAAGGCCGGGGAGGGGCGGCGCCGGGGACCACCACCACCACGCCAACACCACGAAGCCTGCCGCCACGCCGCCCGCCACCACTAGAGCCCAGATCCGGCCGCCACCGGCCTCCACCGGCCGGATTCGGAGAGGGAGGGCCGGATCCGGGAGAGGGAGGGGCGGCGCCAGAGAAGAAGGCCGGGGAGGGGTGGCGCCGGGGAAGAAGAAGGCTGGGGAGGGGCGGCGCCAGGGAAGAAGGGGAGAAGAAGGGGAGGGGCAACGGCAGGGAGGGGAGGGGCACTAGGGGCCGGGTGAGGGGAAGAAGAAGGGAGGGGGCGCTGGGGTTCGGATGCTGAGGAAGACGCGGGTGCGGAGGAAGAAGAAGGGAGGGGGAGGGGGCGCTGGGGTAAGAAGAAGGGAGGGGTCCTGGTCGTGTGAATTTTTTCTTGTGTGCGTATGTTTTTTCTGTGCGTTTTAAAATAACCGACAGAATAATAACATTTTTTCTGTGCGTGTATATATTTTTTCTGTGCGTTTTTTAAGAACCGACAGAATAAGTTGTATTTTTCTGTGAGTGCTGATTTTTTCCATGTGTGTATTGTCACGCACAGAAAAATTATACAATTATTCTGTGGGTTTTTGTATTTTTTTGTCGGGATATTTTGAAACCGACAGAAAAATCATAATTTTTCTGTGCGTTTCGAAAAAAACGCACAGAAAAATTCGTCACCCACAGACCAATTCGAGTTTCCAGTAGTGTTATATAGTCTGTCATGACATGTTATATATCTATACGTCAGGCAAAAAGAAAATGTACTAGCGCTAATAATATTAGAGAGCATCCCCATCGGTATTTAAAGAATTAAGCCTAAAAGCTTAGTATTGGAACCTTTCTAAAAAAAACTATTGGATATAGAAAAAATACGCTTCATCAATAATTCTCTTTTATTCGTTCCTATAAACATGCATGATGACGTCTCCGGCACATACCGAGCCACCGACCGTGGACGAAATAACTCGCTGTCATGCCTGGCTATCCACGGCACTCTAGCTCAAACACAAAACTATTTTTGACTCCTAGTATTTTTAGATCTAAAAATAGTGGCCGGAGATCCAATTCCGATGAGCTTTCTAGATGGTGACAATCAAACCATGGCCGGCCATCCCGATACCTTAACTCACACCCAGAAACTCAAAAATGAAATTTCCTCTATCTCTTAGTATTCTCAAAATCTAAAAATATTCACCAGAGATCTAATTCCGGTGAACCTCCACAGAGGCGGCGGTCGCGGGCAATGGAGAGAGTCGAGGAAAAAACAGATAGGGAGTATCGGTCGTCCGCGTGGATGCCTCCATTTTTCCATGCGAAGATAGATTTGGGAGTCAAATAAAGAACTAGAGTAAGTTTTTTTTTCAATCATACACTACTACAATAAAATTTAATGGAGGCGGACGTTTTTGGTTTCTCGAGGCGGGCATTGCAACCGTCTCCATTTAAAGGTCACGGTTAATCTGGATCTACAGAGGTGGTTGCTTTGCCCGCCTCGGTTAACATATTAACGGAGGCGGACACCTTAAGGCGCCAGCCTGAATAACAAAAAATAGGGGGCCTGTCGATGAGCCCGCTAAGCCCATCCACATGGCCCATCAAGCCCATCGACATGCCCGCTCGCCCGATCTGTCCGTGCGTCGCCACGCCTCGCCAGATCTACCCGCGCCGCTCGTAGGACCGATCAGATCTGGGCCGCCGCCACGCGGGCCCATCGGGGCTACAACCACCGGATTTGACAGCCTACAAAAGAGAGGGTGAGAGAGGTACTAAGAGAAGAGAGAGAGGGTCGGACAGCTGCTGCCGCGAGACAGGCCGTCGCTGCCGCCGTGCGCGAGACCGTATTTGACCGCCACCGCGTGCGAGACCGGCCACTGCCACCGTGAGTGCCGCCTTGGAGGAGCCCCGCGTGGCCCCACGTGTGCACCCCGTGTGCCCCAATGAGAGAGGTACTGAGAGAAGAGAGAGAGGGTCTGACTGCTGCCACCGTGAGACAGGCCACTGTCGCCGCGCACGAGACCATATCTGACCGCCACGGCGCACAAGACCAGCCACCGCCGCCACGAGTGCCGCCTCGCAGGAGCCCCGCGTGGCCCCATGTGTGCACCGCTGCACAAGCGAGCTGAGCCCCGCGTGACCCAGCGCTGCCCTGCGTGTGCGCCCCGCTCAGAGCTAGTGCACTGCGCCACCGCAGAGAGAGAGAGAGAGAGAGAGAGATGCGGGTGGCACGACCTCCACTGCCGCCGCACGACGAGGTAGAGAGTGGAGGGAGGGAAGGAGATAGACGACGCGAGAGAGTGGAGGGAGGGAGGGAAGGAAGGAGATAGACGAGGGAGGGAGAGAGTGGAGGGAGACGGCCACTCGGTTGGGAAGAGAGAGTGAGAGACGAGAACCCTAAAGTGTAGCTTTTATATGTGACTACGGTAATGGACTGGCTGGGTTCAGCATTCATTTTTGAAGGCGGACCTTTTATAAGGCCCGCCTCCGTAAATATATCACTTTTTGGCTGTCTTCCGTTAATCGATTGATGGAGGTGATTGCCTTAACGTGACCGCCTCTGTTAATCAAGCATTATTAACGGAGGCGGACGCCTAAAGCTGTCGGCCTCCGTCAATCCTTAACTGTGGCGGTTGCTCGGCAAGCGGCCTGTCCACGGATTAACGGCGGCGG